CACTGTACTCGTCACCAACCGCCCGGGTGGTGAATGGGGGATTTATATCGAAACCGTTCACCATCTCTAATGGCTCTAGACAGGGATGTCCACTCTCCCCACTGCTCTATATTCTGGCGCTAGAACCCCTTACCCAACTCATCCGCGAACACCCAGACATACATGGCATTACAGTGAAAGGGCGGGAATACAAAATGTCTCTATTTGCAGATGACATCCTCCTAACCCTTGAACAACCAAGTGTGTCACTGCCAAACTTTCACAAAATTCTCTCCCACTACGGTAACTGTTCCTACTACAAATTAAATATTGCAAAAACCCTAGCACTAGGCATAAACATTCCACACGCAGACTTGACAACCTTAAAACTGAACTTCACCTAAGACTGGAGGAGAGACCACATTAAGTTTCTAGGGGTCAACTTCACTCCTAAGGCGAATGCACTGTATAGGGCAAACTATGTTAAATTACAAGCAGAAATCCAAACTATCCTACAAAACTGGAAAGGCAAATATATATAATGGACAGGCCGTATAGCATCGGTGAAAATGGTAATCTTACCGAAAATTCAATACCTATTCCGCACCCTGCCAATCAAACTCCCGAAACGATACCTACTAAAGCTGCAGACCATCTTAAACAACTACATCTGGGACTACAAAAAGCCGAGGGTCGCTAAGACAACTCTACACAGACCACCCGTCCAAGGTGGAATGGGACTCCCCGACATCATGGGGTACTACAGAGCTGCCCACATAACCCCCCTGGTGACTATTTCACACAGACAAGAACCCACACCCTGGGCCGAAATAGAGAAAAGCCACGCACAGGGGCTATCACTTCCACTCCTGGCATGGCTACCAAAAACCCACAGACCGAAAGTAACTGACCTACTGCCTACAACCGCACTGACCCTTGCAATCTGGGACACATATCGTAAGAAAATGGGAGAAACAGCAACGCTTTCTCCAGCACTCCCATTGGACGCTTTCCAAGTATTGATACCAGACTTTAACTATAAACTTTGGAAGAGACACGGGGTGAACACTATCTCACAAATAATGCAAGGCAACAGACTTAAACCACTGCCAGATCTCCAGACAGAATTCCAACTATCTGGCACAGCAACCTTCTCCTACAGGCAATTGAGATCATGGGTGCTCGCCCAGC